AAATGACTATTATTTTGAACAACTCTGTTCCTCAACTATCTTCTTGATGCTTCGCTAAAACTATCTATTTATAATCTACCGTCGAATGTACTAGCTAACATCTAAATTAAGACTAAAAGTATAGCTTAAAACAAAAGTTTTCACTTGAACATTACATGTAGGAAATAAATACACGGAATTATTATTTATCTTAAATATTTTACATGGTTCATTTTCAGTTTGTTCTATAATGGTTTATGCTATATTTTTATCTAGTTATTAGAAAAATAATTTAATAATCTTCTAAATAACTCGTTTTTTTTTGTTGTTTCTTTGTCACCATACCCACAACCAGATAATATTATCTCCTTTGTCAATGATTCCTATTAACAAAATTTCATTGTTTTTATATACGAATACTTACTAATCAGGGAGCCAGCGCTGTGAAAATGAGTTTTCGTTTAATTCTAAAACTGAAAGAAAATCTCCAAATGTTTTAGAGTTTTTTTTTTGGATTTAGCGCAAAGCTACACGAGGGCTATCTGCGCTAGCCGTCCCTAATTTAGCAGTGTAAGACTAGAGGGAAGGCAGCTAGTCATCACCACCCACCGCCAACTCTTGGGCTGCTCTTTTACCAACGGCTGAAAGGGCGAGCATGTTTGGTGGGACTGGGATTCGAACCCGCAGATTGCAAGTCGAGCTCCCTAACCATCTGGCCATGCCGGGCCACCAAATGCTTTAGAGAGATACACTCCTTGGTAGTACTACTAGTACTAAATGAGTATTAGAATAAAATTTTATGTGATCAGGACGATTTTATAGGAAGCCAAATGTGAGAACATGTGTACAATGAAGGCCCAATGGCTTTTTTGACCGTTAAATGTATTTATTCTTCAAACTTAAATGGAAAAAAGAAAGATATTTAATTTGAAATCTTAAAAGTTAAAATATCAATCAACTGTTAATAGGATAGCATTTAAAGGCATTTGGTTTCACGTGACCCACCCATGCAATTATGTTATAACTGTATTAAAAGAAATCGTTTATGAAATCTGACTTCTTGTTATCTCGTCAGTTGCATGTTTAATGTTTAATCATTTGTAATTCTTTTCATAAACACAGTAGATTATTTTTCAAACCAAGTATTAGAAATATCAAAAAAGACAATAGCATTTTTTAATTCTATGTATATATGGTCGGTCAAAATGTGTAACCATGAAACTGTACATAGTATAACTCTTGATGCTCTATGCGTATCTTTAAGAAATTTGACGTGCTTTAAGTGAAATTGATGATGTGGTAAACGTCGAAACAGGCAGAGTCCACATTTTAGAAATTGTTTTAATTATGTGTCGATTTTAACGTTGTGCGTTGTTTTAATATTTATTTTTTTAACATTATACACAAGTGCCAATAAAATAATATCTAAAGACTTACATCTTGTACTGAACTTAGGCAAAGATAGTCCACCATAAATCGTAACGTTCTACTAGCTATAAGACTCTTTTATAAGCAAGTTGTACGGGCGGGATTTTGAAAATATAGATGATTTGCGCCACTATTTAGTCACAAAGCAGGTGACAGTACCAAGCCCTACCGACAATTTTCCTATTAATATACACTTTCAAATGTGGCAAAAGTTTAAACATTAATCTGGATCTATGCATTGTAGCTCATTCTTCGTCTACCACCCTTAGTTACTAGAGTTTGGGAATACAATGAATGTCAATGATGGTAGTTCTCTTATATCAGGCTGTGTCAAAGTTGAAGCAGCACCAAATTCAGTTTTAGACTTAACTGTGTGGTGTGGCAAAGAGCTATTTCGGTTGATGTCTCTGCAAGAAACTTGGAATGCAGTGCACCGAGGCCTGAAAGTGTGATGATGATTGTGAAAATTCGCAAATGGAAGATGATGAAGTGGATTCTGGTTCTGACTCTGAATTGGACTAGATGATTACGATGAAAAAGTGGGACGCGCTTAGACATTTCGTTAAAACTATCATTATTCGAGAGCACTACTTATAATTTATAGGCAATGTCCAACTTCAAATGGAGTTCCTTTAAGAGGCCCTCCACTCCAAATGTTCCTCAGAACAGAGAGCAAAATCCCAGATTGACAGTTATTGGATTAATGTTGTTCATCTACTCAAGTCTGCTAATTTTAACGAATAAATCCCATCGTATACATAGAATGTCACATCAACTAGCCAATTAAACCACTATGTCAGCTAACAGCTATTAGATGGTTTTACTCCCAGTCTTTCAGTTTCAGCATTTTAAGGTCACCCTAGTGTGAAGTTTGTGTTTTGAAATATTCTTTCTTGTTAATTAGTAGTATTTTAGTTCGACGAACTTAAGATATGGAGATAAAATAAATTCGGCTCTCCTCCACAGGGGAAGTATATCCCTCATGAAATTTTCCTTACTGCCACCCGTTTGGAGTTCCATAACGATGTGTCGACCAATATATATATATATACAATTTTCCCTTTCAGTTTGTGAAATAAACAAAATTCATTTCTAGAGCTTTCATCATCGGCTCCTTGATTATATCCTTTACATGTTAAAATTCGTATTTCTTATTCTTAGCTTTTGGTTCATTTTATTTCCATGATATTTAAAACTATCTTCATAATATCTATTAAGGGAATATTTTTATATATATTTATATATCTAGGTCTAATTTTTATTTGAGAGATTTTGTAGCAACTTCAATTCGTATTTGACTTAATATAAAAGTTTTCGTTTGTTTAGTTTGACTTTGTGCTATAATTTTTATTTTGTAATTTAACTCCCCAATTGTGTGTGTGTAGCTCACACAGAACTGGTGAGAGAGAACCAACAAAGTGTCTATTCACACCTCTCTCCCTTGTTCTATAGTTTCATTGTATTGTGTGTTGGTTGGTTTTGTTACGAAAGATTGTAGTTTTTACCTTTTTGTATGTTGATTCCTTCTTTGTGACGAATTCGGTCGGAGTTCAGAAAGTAACGGAGTCATACTCTGTAGCCTAGCAGTATCCAACGGACCTCCTGTTTAGCAGACCCTACTTTTGCTTAGCGGGATTGTTTGTAGCTACACAACGGGCTATCTGTGCTCTGCCCACTACGGGTATCGAAACCCGGATTCTAGCGTTGTAAGTCCGCAGACATACCGCTGTGCCACGGAGGGGTATTCTGCAGGAAATCCACGTAACGGATAGTACCACAATATCGACAGAGCATAATTACTAATCCAATAAACTTTTATGATGAAATTAAGTTATTTGGTATTTTTAACTGTACTGAGGACTTTACAGAATGACTTGGTTAAATTGGTAATCTGGACAAATATTTGGCAAAAGACCTTTAGTTATCACACTTTTTTAATAGCATGACAGAAAAGAATAAAGGATCTAACGGCGTGATTGACTTATGAAATATCCTGAAATGTACAAAATGATATCAAATTTTCACTTTTCTCAAGGGCAGGTGTGCAAGGAGAGTCTCGAAAGACCAAATGTCCCCTTGTTGTCCTTATGTTGTCTTATAAGTTCATCAGTTAATTATGCCAAAATGATTCGTACACACAATTGTTATGGTGTTTTTCCATTTACCACTGAACACTTGACACAAAATGCAGACTAACACAGAGTAGCAAAAAATCAGAGATTATATTTTATTTATTTATCCACGCCTATGCTTACAGTTGCATGCATTATAGTATATTTATTTTGCTAGGAAGTATTTGAACTACAAATTTGAAAAACGTTGTTCTATTTACGTCATAACACGGAATAGCTAGTAAGTAGGCTTAAAATTGTGGCTAATTTGGCTATGTTTAATTGTCTCGTAACTTTATTTAAATCATTATCTGAAATAGCGGAAGTCACGCGACGCTGGAAGCATGCGCGCTGGAGTTTCTAAAAGGATCATGACTGTTCCTGGCAACTCTAGTTTTTTTTAGGCGCCCTCTATTTTAGTATATAAGCCCGGCAAATAAAGCGGAGAAATAATAGCAGATTGAAGAGAGATATAGAGACAGATAATTGAGTCAAGTGAGCGGTAGTGACCCTAAGTAAAGTGCGTGAATCGTTGTGAATTATAGCGTGTGTTTAAGTTAAAGTGACTGTGGAAATTCTGTGTATTGCAAAGTTGTATTGAGAAAGAATATACTAGTTTTATTTAAGAAAGGACTTGTATCGCTGAAGTTCCTCGGGAAGAATTTATACCGCAAATTAACAAACGACCAGAGACGTAACAATATATATAAAAGTTAAATTACTCCGTCACAGTTATTTCAACTATCCAACTACGCGCACTCTTGCTACTTTTTCTGCTATCATATTCATAATGGATGACGTAGAAAGCATTTAAACTCTACTCTAGTATTATGTAAAATGTATACTAGAGCGCCCTTTAGAAATACGTAGTTATTACTAACACTATGATTGGTCCCTCATGGATTTACTACGCTAAAATCCGTAGTTCAATTCCCTGCCTTCGACATGACGCAGACGCTCACTGTATAACTTTGCGTTAAAAACAACAACAACAACAAAAAAAAGAACGTTATGATTCGCATTTACATGTATATAAATAATAACACTTCACGTCTAGTAACCATTCCGTCAATGATTGTGAAAACTTGTATACTGCAAACGTGGCGGGCATTTCCCCAATAAGAATCCGTGCTTGTTAACCTATAAACAACTTGTGTTGGGATTTGTGCTTCAGTATTTATATTTCATTTCATTACATAACGTAGTCTGTAGTTTTCAGCAGTATAGTTAAATAATTTGTTTTTGTAGTGTATTTGTTGCGAAGCTGCATCAGATAAATACGAAAAGGATATACCCTAGATGTAAAATTTTAACCTTTTTTAAAAAAAACTAGAATGAAAATTATGAACATATTGAATGGTATTTATAAATAACAATGGTTGTTTCAGATTGTATGCATCACATTAAACGTTCTTGTGTACTAACAGTTTAAATAAATCGTAGTTTACGTTTGAGTTTTTGAAAGAACTAAAAAAATAAAAATAAAACTTACATAAAAACCTTTCTCTTTATTTCATTATGTATACCCAACAAACACAAGTTAACCGAAATACTAACCACATCAAAATGAGGGCTTTAATGCCATACATAACTTTTGACTACCATTGGAGTAATTTTTTGACTTCAGACCAATACATTGGTCCTGGTAGGATACTTAAATACTGGAAGTTTAGTTCTTGCAATGTTTTCTAAGTCAAATTAAGTAGTAACCAAAAACACCAACCACATTTTATTTTACAATAAAAGCTATTGAAAAACAGACTGAAACTGTATACAAACAAGTATCCTACCAGAAACATTGTATCTGCCCTTCATTAAAAATGAGCACGGCCCCTTTCTGCTGTTTAACACACATATTAACTTTTTCATCTAAAATTACTAAAACAATATCACAGCAAGAAAAGGCACTTACACAAGTGTCAACTCTGCAGATGTTCCAGAAATTTTTATGATGCAAAAGAAACTCAAAACAAATAGGCAAGTACATATAGAGATAATTTTCAATTGACTATCTGTATGCCAGTAAACTGTGAATGAATGTGTTAAAACGAATGGGAATGTAGACTTCTCAGTTACAATTTGCATAATTCTATAACTTTCTGAAGGAATGAGAGTTAAGATATTTTAAAACATTTATTAACTTTTTTTTTCATTTTGACACATATTGTCAGACAGAAAGATTTGACTGCTTGAGTTTTTTACATGTAAAAATAAAACAATAATGCTTTTCTTAAAAGATCATTAAGCCTAAGTGCAGAACTTAATAAATAGAAATAATTAAAAATTGCACTAAAGTATTAAGTTACATGTTTCTATAAGTACAACAAAATTAATTAATTCTAGATTACATCACACTCCTGAAAATCTTGATGAATAGTGAATAATTACAACTGCAGTTTATGCCTCAAAGTATGCAAATATACCAGTTTGTAAAGTTTTTTGCTTCCCAAACATACAGCTATATCTTTATTTAATAGGTCTTTCAAAACATTAAAAAAATATGATCTTAAACAAGTTTAAATTGATGATCCAATTTCCATAAAACTTATGCCACCAGTCATCATTTGTTTCATAAAAAAGCTGATTATTGATACATTGGTCAAATTAATTAGAAAATAATATTGCACAGAATATTAAAAGTTGTTATATTTTATCAATTCCAAATATTTGTAACTAATTTTAATCATATCAACATTTTACTGTGACACCAGACTTTACTGTCCAATGTTCCTTTAAATATTGTAATGTTGGATAAAAACCTTTTTTAAGAATAAAGAAGTATAAAAATAAGTGAAAAGTTTTACATTTTAAAAAAAAAGGAAGGTATGAGTAAAAAAAAAGGATATTTTTTACCCCTTAATGGAAATGCAGTTGACGTTAGAATGATGTACACAATGTCTGTGAATATAATTTTATTCAGAACTGTATTTAAGAAAACATTTATATTTTTCGAAATTTCCTAGTCTAAAAATCTTTGTGTTTACCTAGTTTTTCTAATAACATTTGCTTGGCTATCATAAAATATTATTATCATATATGAAAAGGATTTCTATTATGTGCTAAATGGATCAAGAAATTAAGTAAACCAAGAGTTTTGAGCTAAAATACAACAAGTAATTAATACTTACTTTCTTCAATAAATTACACTGTCAAATGAAAATATCCTTCTGGGGTTTTCAGTTTTACTTGAAACTGACAAATAACGAAAAACAAAATGTGCAAAGGCAAGAAATTACACTAGTAGGAGTTTGGCACAATAGAAAAATTACACTATTTAGGTAGACAACAAATCAATAGAAATTCCTTCACAAAACATCAAATAATGAACAAACTTTAATTAAATAATGATTATCATTAACCTCCAAGCAGTAGCTCTTACTTCTTAAGTTTTGTTTACCTTTTAATAACATGCTATTCTCTTAATGTGCGAGACACAGGGACAGGGGCCGTGTCCATAAAAGAACTTGAACAACTAAACTTCACAGAGATTTTATGAGCCAAGTTCTTGAAACAACTTCAACTAGACATTATAACAATCTCAAAAGATCTCTATCTACCATAACCTCAATGATATTTATACAGAACTGTACATATGTAAGTGCACCATATTATTTACAGTAATTGGCAAGAGACAAACATTAGTAAGTTTCTAACAAGTAGGACGGATGGGATGGTTTGACTCTAAAACTAACCACATTCCCAACAGAATGCAGACACAGTCCTTGGGTATTTTCTACAAAGTATATTTTGTGGCAACTTTTTGTTTTCAAAGTAACATTCTGTGATGGCACAAACTCATTTACTGTATCATTCGTAAGTAACGAGTTTCTTCCATCAGTGACGTCAATGATGAACTCATGTCATTAATCACCATATTAGTAGTAGCGAAAAAAGGTGTTTGAGGTTTACTATCAACACAACTAGGAGTCTGTGAACACTGGCCAGCTAGTGCTGGGCTTGGGGTACAAGTCAAATAATCATTTTCATTTAAACTTTTTACTGCTGGCAAGTGACCATCTTGTTGATCTGTTGTGCTACTAACCCGTGGGGACAACTCCATTTTTTGGCAGGAACTTTCATTAGCAGGAACGAGGTAGTTATTGTTTGCATTGCCTGCACATTGTTCATTACTGGATGCCATCTGTTGACACTGTTGAACATACTCTAAAGTCCTCTGGTATACATCAGAATGCATTGTAGATCGTGATGATTGGCTGACATTTTTACACTGAATCTCAGGCTGTGAAGTGCTGCAAGACTTGCAAGCTTGTGCTACATGGGGGTAAGAGGGCTGAATGGGTGTACAACTAGGAAGGGTCCTACTAAAGTGGGAATCTCTGTTTTCAGAAGGTTGACATGCTACATTTTTGCAACTCCCCTGTGGGTCTGTAACTGAACAGGTTTGTGGAGGACAACTTTGCTTGAGCTGCTGAACGTAAAGATGGTTAGATGCCAATGGTTGCATGTAACCTTCATGTTCCATATTCTGAGGATAGTATGTTTGTCCATTGCTGTTATGGTGAACACAATTATATGGATAACAGGGAATACCCTTTGAATGATTCTGTAAACTATTCTTTGAAGGATACTGTTGACCAAACTGCCCTTGCATGCTATTATTTGAAGTAAGATGATGACTTAACTGACCCTCTTCTGCATTGCTTGAAGGATACTGTTGAACTACTTTGTTATGCAAACTGTTATCTGCAGGACATTGATGTCCCTTCTGAACTTGAAACACACTGTTTGAAGAACTTTGTTGACTGGTTTGACCATGTAAAGTATTATTTGAATAACACTGCTGACCCATCAACTGGTCTTGAAATACCTTGTTTGAAATACATTGTTGACCTGTTTGACCTGGAAACCCAATGTTTGGTTGACATTGTTGATTCAACTGACCATAGAATGAACTATTTGAAGAATGGCAATGATCCCTGAAGCTGTTATTTGAAGGCCAATGTTGATTCAAAGGGTCAGCCACTGGAGACAACATCTTGTGGCAAGGCTGTGGAATGTGGTTGTTGCAAGAACCACTATGGGGCAAATAACCATTTGGCTGATTATGAGCAGGTAATTCTTGATGCATATTTGATGGGTAATGTTGAGGCAAAGAAGTTTTATGTGGGCCATTTCTTGCCATTAATTGATGCGTAAGTCCAAGCTGGCTATTGGTGTCACTTGAAGGGTAACAATGAACCTGAGCCCTAGGCTGGCTAGAGTGGTAGTGATTTCCCATTTCCCAATGTGGTTGATGAGACTTGATTTCAGCAGAGTGAAAACCTTGTTTACATATCTGAGGAGTTGTATACTGTGAGACAGAACCCTGTTGATAGGATGGTAAAGTTGTATGGGAAATAGGGTCACTCTGATGGCAAGTCTGTGAAGTTGGCTGAGAAGTGTGAGGACTGTTATGACAAGTCTGATGGATGGCTTGTGGGGTATAGGAACTTTGTTGTTGGTTCTGGGGTATGTCAGCATGCTTGTGAGCTGAAGATGTAGAGTAACAGTTGCCTGTATGGTTTGGAAAAAACTGGACCCCATCACTGGATGGCATTGTAACTGATATCCATCCTGGATTAGCTCTGTTCTGGAAGTCATTGTGATGTGAGTTCTGTTGCCGAAGGTCATCATACTGACTGACACTGGAAACAGCTTGACTCAGTCTTGAAGATGGACGATCACTATTCTTTTTGTTTGTCCTACTGTTTCTTTGAGGTAATGCTCCATTTCATCAGGAATAACCAGATCCTGGTTTGCTTCAATTGGCTTATCTTCTGCCCAGTCTTCTAGAACAACATTTTGGTTAGGATGAAATTGTTTTTTTTGTTCTACTGATGGACGTCCTCCTTTTTTACACCCTGATTGGCCAATAGGTGGCAGTGGCTGAAGTTTGCTGATATTGTGGTGACAAGGTGGAACACTTCTGTTTTGATCAATGGGCTTTAGTGGCTCACTAGTTTGGCAATTAGAACGCATTGGTCCATTTGCAGAAAAAGAATTTCTGTTTGACATACTACTGTGGGAACCTCTAGAAGATCTCTCATCACCAGAAATGCCCTGTCTTTGCACAACCAAGTTGCTCGTGTTTGTCAGATGTTGAGATACCAAAGCACGAGAGTGAAGCTGTTGCAAATGAGCTGTCATCCCTGCTGACAAACCTGTTGAACTGCTGGCCTCACTTGAACGCCGTGAACTTCCAAGAGAAATAGGATCATATGGAGAGCTTAGCCTAATGACACTACGAGAAGTACAAGAGCCTTGGCTTTCCTGTCTGCTAGAGATGTCACTACTAACTGGTTGAGAACTATTGTCTGAGCCCATGCTGCCATAAAATGAGCTTAGGGTGCTGCTACTGTCTCTCCTAGTGGTTAGAGTAGTTTGCTGAGTCTGACAACCTAAAAAAAGATCAATTGAGTAAACTGCTTTAGTTGATCTATATATGTTTTCAATTATCTCATTATGATCCAAATTCTATTTATGTATGGCTATTGATTACGTTTCTCCATACTGTAGAGTTAACCATATTTTTCTTTCTTTTTTTTTACAGTAATAGTTAGCAAGAGAGAGACAAGAGCATACACATTTCAAATTATAACATATTTCTGTTTGGAAAAAGAAAAAAAAAGGGACACATTTTTTATCTTAGATGTATGGCTAGCCATCTTTAATTACATAAGCAGATAATTGTCTCTCTGTCACATGGACAGTAAGGTTTTTCATTATTATATGGGAATTCATCTTTAATTATAAGTTTGTTTATAGAACTGAAGGATGACAAAGGGACAATTAAGTACCATATTTGTATAAGATGACCCTGGATTTGTTGAGCAAATTAAGTGTATTTCTTTGAGGTTCAGTGTATAGGTCAACGTCTATTGTCAAGCAAGCCTATGATGTTACTTTTCTAAAGAAATTCTTAGAAGTTATTTTTAAACTGTGCTAACCTGCACCCTGGAGTAATCAATACAATCACAAGTGTGCTTTTTATGCTCTTCAATGCTGCAGACAGCTCAATGAGGCATAACTAAAGTCACAAACATGTAATAAACAACTTTACAAGGTTTTCATCACAGTTGAACCCCTTTTCTATTAAAAAATACTATACCTTAAGATATAGTGATGTACTATAAAAACATGTTTACAAAATTAGTGTATGTTACAAAACTAACTTTTTTAATATACTATTAGCAATATTTTAGTATGACAAATGAGATCAATACATTTCAAATAAAAAATGTCTTGATTAATTGTAACTAGCATGCGAGATAACTTCCAGTTATGAAGAATTCAGACAAATGATACAATTACAAATAGGTTATTGTAATGTACTAGGTGGCACAATGTCCAATGCACTTACTCAAAAAAGCAATCAATAGTAAAAGGAACAAACATAATTTTGGTTAAATTTGCTATTAACTGGACAGTACTTACTGGAAATCTATCTTTGCAACTCCATATAAGACGAGAGGTAAAATCAGGCATTGTTTTAAGAGTAAAAAGTACCGTCTCATACACCAGCAAATATGGTACACCTATGCTTGAGGGATATAATGTTATCTATATAACTAAAAGAAATCCACATACTGATGACCATTTTATGATTAAAATGGCTAAAACATACTAATAATTGTCCATTCTGTACTGAATATGATTTCCCACATGTGTAAAAAACTCATAACTAAAGATAAATCCCCAAATAACAAGGAAAAACCTTACTGTCCATGTGATTGAGAGACAATTTTCTACTCACGTAAATGAAGGTGGCTGTCTGTATATTTAAGACACAACAAATGGTTCAATTTTACCAGCAAATGACTGCCTATATAATTAAGGATAACTATATAGTTGAGAATGACTACCCACACACCTGAAGTACACATTATTACTCATATGATTATGAACATCCAAATTTCTAAATAACAAAGTGAAAGACGTATCTTTCTATAAGACTGTAGTTGAGTTGACTGCTCATATAATTGAGGGATGTTTATACCCCATATTGAGGGATAAAAAAGAACCTCCCTAAGACTGAGAAGTGAAATTAACCACTGAATAAAAGATATCTAACTTAGTGAAGACCAGTTATTTTCCTATATAAAAGATTATATAACAGAATATCATTTTACCTTGGTTTTGGGAGAAGGGCAAGTCTATTGCACTTTTGCTACCATTGCCATGGCCACTACCATGAATATCTGGAAGTTTTGCATTTCCAGGTGTTGCCCTACAGCCTGTGTTACCTCTTCCTCGCAATATACCTATAATAAACAAAATAGTTAAACTTGACATTAAAAGAGTGAGTTTTCAGAATTCTGCTTTAAAAAATGATGGTTCTGCTGAGGCTTGTTGGTTCAGTGCTACTCTTTGTTGCATGATCAAGATGGTTTCATTGGTTTAAGCATTTTTTGTCTCCCTAGTCACTACAATAATTTTGAAGTTGCTGGTAGACATAAGTCGCATGACTCATAGCATCTAAAGTGGAGTATTTTCAAATCTGTGTTTATATACTGGTAATGCTTCTGTCTTTATAAAATCTTCAGAATAGGATAATAGATTTAAGTACTGTAATAGGAAACACGTGTAAATTACATTAATGTATAAATATCTAAGCTACTGTTCCATGATAATTTGATTATTACATCATACAAATTTGTGTTTTTTGGATATTATAATTTATCATTATTTTTGTGTTTTAGTGTTATAAGCCTTCAGACTTACTGCTGTGCTACTTGGGGACCCTTTTGTTTTTGAATACTTATGTTATTACCAAATTCATCACATACAAGAAATGTATCTAAGAAAAGTAACATTAGTACTTTACATCCTCAGAAAATCATACTTTAAATACAAAAAAAGGGACTCATTAACTTCCTTCGAATACCGATCCATAAATAACAACTGTGTGTCTTTAAGCCAAATGTGAGACTATAGCACCTCTTCAGTTTTATGATGTTATTCTAAGATTGAAATGGTCTTGAATAATATATTAATAAACTCTGTCATCAGAGATATTAGTCACTTTGAATCAAGAAGAATGTCAGCCTAAAAATCGATAAATTGCCTGAGGAGATAAACAAGCTTAGGAACAAAAATACCTTGAGTGTCTTAATCAAGTAACACAGACTAACATCAAACTAACAATCCAGTGTTGTAACAAAGCTTCTTAAAACGTTTTTTTTTTTTAAGATATTAATATTTGATGTTTTTTATTAAAATATTTAACTGCACTGATGATTAAAAGTAAAAAAAGATTTCCTGGATTATTAATGTGTCTAGAAAAATCATTTTTCTTACATTTAGCATATTTTAAATTTTGCTTGAAAACTAACTACATCGGTAACTCATGCTTTGTTATTTTTGTTAATGTAAAAACATATAATGACTGTTTACTTTATTGGTGTTATAAATAAGAACAGTACAATTCTTTTATTTACCAGTTCGGGATGGTAAAATGTTTGGCAGCCAAGAATTTCCTGATTTAAATGTTGACTGGAATCTACTCTTTAACCTGTTGCGTACATTCCTTTCAGCTTCTCCACTCTGTCCCGTTGAGGTAACGCAAGCAACACCTGGTGAATGCTCTCCCAACTAAAGAATAAAACAACAAAGTGAGTAAAAACATCTTCAATATCAAGCACTTTTTATTTAATTTATTTAACCTAATAACAATAAATTCTAAAATTATTTGTTGTACATTTCATCTGAAACTTAACATAATGGGAAGAATATTTCAAATATTAAGGAAGATAAAGTGCTGAAGAAAGTAAACTACAACAGAAAGTGAGAAAAAGTGCTTATCTGATTAACAATAACAACTTATAAAAACAAAAAAATTTGAAAATCTTAACTACATAGCATACAAACTCAAAACTCAATTTTAAATACAAAGTAATCGATTGAGTATGAGATCATACTGCCCAAATAACACCATGATTTGTCATAAGTTTATGTTTTCATTACTTTAAGTCACAAGTTTCTGATTCGTTTTTATAGCGTTCACCACCAGTAGGTCTATATGTTGAGTAATTTTATGTTTCTGGATGTTACAACACAGTGTAAATAAAACACTGAGCAAAAAAATGCATTGTTGACTCACACAGTAATTAGTGGGATTAACTGCAATGCTGATTATATTTTTGTTTAAATTGTCTTGTTTGATTTGGATCTTATTAGGAACCCTGTAACCAACAAAGCTTGGTATTTCTAGGGTTAGAAAATGTCATAAAGTAACTAAGTTTGAAAAATCTTATGACATTCATTTTGTTGTCTGTCTGAAATACTATTTGCTTGTTACTGTAATAGGACCTATGTCCTATTTTTGTCAGATCCTACTGCTTCTGTAAAATATATTATTTAATGAGTTTTCTGTTTATTTTTTTAACCAAGTGTTACAGATACTTAGAAAAAATAGCTGGCCTTATTTTTGCTCTGTTTCATTGTGAAACCACAATTGTTTCAAATTTACAAATTAACCAATGGCCAAGTTTACCTCTACAGTTTGATAATTTGCTAAATTTCACACATTATCAGACTTTAATTATTCCAAAGTTATACTGAAACTATTAGCCAGATTTACTTCTATAGTCCATTAAACTATTAGCTTCCACACATTATGAATTTTGAAGTAGATAAATAGCATGCATTACCTCTATTGCTTGACTATCTACTAGTTCCCATACACTGTCAGTCTCCAATCTCTCCAGGGGTCCACTAGTGGTTGAAACACTATTATCACTAATTGGGCCATTATATAGTGCTTGATCCATTGCACCTGGTACATCTGAGGTCCCCTCACTTGCAGGGCTACCATTTTGCTGTGGAGACCCCTGGCCCTAAAAGAGATATAGTAAGTTTCTGGTTACTACTGATATATTTCACTTTAACACAAGGTTGAGGTTTTTTTAAAATTTTTATCTCATCAAACTGACAGCAATTGATTAAAAATTTTCCATGACCAGTTTCTAATGCATACGTATATATGAATGAAAGTTTCACTGTTATATCGTTATGAGTCAGATAATAACAAGCTGATAGTCAAATGTAATTGCAGTACTTTAAGTGAAACCTTTTTTTTAGATAAAACATTTAGCACATCCTACCTCAGATTTTACACTTGGGCTGGACAAAGCAGCACCTTTACTGCCCGATCCATCATCAGAATGTGGACTGCCATCAATGCTAATCCCTGGATTTGATGGTTTATCATCTTTTGCTCCTGGTCCTCCTGATCCACCAGATCCATTTCCTTTGTGTTTCTTGTTAGCATAAAATTCTGGCCCATGAACAGTTTTTACATGTTTTCGTAGAGAGCTTGGATCAGTATAGCGTTTAGTGCAACCAGGAGCTTTGCACACATATGGTTTCTAAAATACATCAACATATTAACTGCATTTCTATTTAAAAAATACAATTGTAAATAAAAACACTTAAATAAAAAGAATATTGTCCTTATTCATGCGCTGCTGGCTGTTGAGAAAGATTATATTCATTGCGTATACTTTTCTCATCCAATGATTCTTTTGGTATTATTATACTATGTCATTCATTTTTATTAATTATATTTTAAATATTTTCAATTGCTTTTATTATTTAAGAAGGCCCGGCATGGCCAGGTGATTAGGGCACTCGACTCGCAAGCTGAGGGTTGCTGGTTCAAATCCCGTCCGACTAACATGCTCACCCTTTCAGCCTTGGGGGCA